CAGCCCATAGGTTGCCCCAAAGAGGGTGCAGGCGAACTGTGGAGAGCATGGTGCTGCGGCTGCGAGTTGTAGGCCGCTGGCATCGTGGGGACTGGTTTTCGTCAGCAGCGCTATGTTCAGTATGACTGCTGGGAGGTGAAGACAGGGCTGCCTCAGAAAGTTGCTGAAGGAAGGCAGAGTTGCGGCGGGCGCAGATGGAAATGTCATGAGATGCGCAGAATAGAGGAATCCAGCCAGCTGGCGCCCTTCTCAATATATCCACTAGGACAGCAATGAGTCTCCCCATGGCATTGGTGTTGCTGTTGCTACTCTTGCAGCCGCCTTGGACGAGGCACACGACAACAGCATAGTCAGCTGTGAGTGGGTGTGCAAAGGAAATACTTAGGGGCCTCACAGTGGGCGGTCGTGCTTGACCTGCATCACCCTGTTGTGGGGGTGCCTTGACCACCTGGTGAAGAAGATCCCGTGGTAGCCATTTCCCAGGTGGAATGGGCATCGACGGCAAAAATCTTGTGGGAAATTTGAGTTCTTTTGAGCGGGATCTGGGGGGCAAGCATGTCGGGGATCGATGTTTTCCCTTCATGTCGCATACGCTGACTGACTCCGTTGAGCCGCTGATGCCGCCACAGTCAAGTGACTCGTGAGACGCTAGCGAGCTGGGGTTTCTGGAAGGGAAAGCAAGACAAGGTAGACAAGTCGATGGCTCGCCAGAAACCTTGGAACCACCTTTTGCCGGAAACTTCAAGTTCTCTTCCGTCGCCTGTCTCTCCTTAAGCTCAGAGTCAGCAGTGGACGAAGTGGAGAGCAGCAGCAGTTCAGCAGCTGAGGTGCACGCCACGTATAAGTTACTGTAGGATGGGTGCTTGGCAATTGTTACAAGAGGTGTTCCGGCGTTGTTCTCATGTGTCGGAGCTACTTTGCCTTCCCCACTTGAAACCGGCCCCGTAGAGGGATCGTTAGGGTGCGTAACTTCCTTCTGCACAGATGGTGAAAATGAAACCCTCTGAATCTGTAAAGGCTGATCCCTGTTGTCCTGTCGTGTATCAGGCTGGTCTGAATCTTGCGACGAGGCGTCATTGTAGTGAATCGAGTACAGATCTCGTCCGGGGAATAGGGCAACCCGGTGTTCTTTCCCTAGTCCCTCTTGCTCTACTTCCTTTAATGGAAATAACCGAGCATTCCAGATCGGGATGCCTTGGTGTGATTGATATTCTTCTCCCTCCGTCGCCCGTGGCACATCGGCCCGGCTTCTGGAAATATCAGCGGCTCCAGGACTAGGTGTTTTCGAAGGCATGTTCTTCCCGCTTGCTCGTTGCTGGGACAAAAGAGCCTTTGCTGTTTCTGCTACCAACAGCGCCTGACGGCACCTGCGCCAAGTTTGTAGGCCCCGCCGCAGCATTATACGCTCCAATGCTTTTATACCATGGCGAATTGAAATCCGATGCCGGACCCTTTCCCTTAGGGGCGTCAGAATATGCTTTCTCAGTAGAAGTGTCCTGACTGCTGCAGTGACTGCTGCTTCCTTGATTTTCCTCATCAAATAGGCTCTCCGCTGAAGCCATAGTAGAGTCGGGTGTACATGCATGATGANTGATTTTCCTCATCAAATAGGCTCTCCGCTGAAGCCATAGTAGAGTCGGGTGTACATGCATGATGATGCGAACCGCAAGACGCCACCGCAGACGCTGAATAGCTGTGATGAGGCGGCATATGTCTTCGGGAGTTTTGAAAAACTGGCCCGGGTCAGCAAGCAACGCTGCAGCCTCTCCATATACAGACGCCTTGAAGCAGACCAGAGAGACGCCGCAAATAAACGAGCCCGGCCGGCTTTGAGGTAGCAATCCGAGGGTCGCAGACACTGCAGCAGCAAGCAAGAGAGCATCGAAGTGTGTAATGATTGAGCGACAGGGCGGAAAGTCTAGAGGTCGATAGCCAGTCGCACTATTTCTGTATCAATTGTATGGCACAGCATATTTTGTGTCGTGTTACCTAAGGTTCGGTCCCTGGCAGCAACGGGGTTGCAGTGCCTTAGTGTTTCCAGTAACCGACGCTCCTTTGAAACTACGTCTTGCCGTTCCGCATATGCTAAGAGTTTCTGCACCTTTTCCTCCTGCTCCTTCAGCCGCTCCGCCACAAGCGGGGTTAATGCACTGCGCAGTCTGGATGCGAGTGAGCGCAGGGGCATTCTATGAGGGAAGCCCGACTGTAGAATATCCACGAGAGCCAGTGAGCCCGAATGCTGCAACTGAATTAGGAAACAGAGAGCAGCACCAAGACCATAATCATCAGCGCTCACTAAACAGATCGACAACGGGAGTTCTGGCGCAACGAAATGACTCCTCCATGAGCTGCTCTATTCATGCTTCCCCTTCTGTGGCACTTTGTACACAACCTTTTGATATGCCACTGCTATTCCTGCTCTGTAGCCACTAGCAGCCCATGCTTTAACATGGTTACCACGATCCGCCTTGCAGAATGCTCCTACACGCGAACATATTCGTCTTACTCTAGTCTAAAAGTATAGGTTCGCTGCACTCCAGTTGGCAGTACGCGCCTTTGCCGCTAGACGCTCTACTTCGACAGGCTCCCTACCTGCTGCAATACGGTCTTGCGCTCAAACTTGTCGGGCCTCATCTGGCAATTTGGAATGAAACACCGTATGAAGTGAAGTTGCATCTGCGGTCCCTGTAACTCCTGGTT